TTCAAGCATGCCACATCTCGTGCGCGACGATCAGCCCCCATCTCAATCCGTGCCTGTATCATCTAAGAGATATCACCTTGGACATGTAGTCAGTTGCTCCAAGATCACCCCTCACGACTTCATGTTGAGCGCGATCTCTTGCGGAGGTGTTCCAGGCTCCGACAGCTTATCATCGTTAAGGCTACCAGCTGTCGACTCTGCTCGTCTTATACGGGTGATGGTCAGTGTCGGTGTTCTCGATCTTGGGTCCTCGAGACTAAACTTACTGAGAAGTTCCCCTTCGGTGCAGGAGTCTTACTGTGAAGGCAGTGATGATCATCAAGATTGAGAGGCAAGTTGCTGTTATGAAACCTTTCTGATAGTTCGGAGCATCAGTCTGCTGCCAGACGATCAACGGAAGCCATGCTTGTAGCACATATGCCATTTCGTTCATGAAACCAATCACCAGTGCACGCTCTTCGTTGTCTGCCGCACAAATCTCGTGAGCCCATCTGTGTGGTTCTGTCAGCCCGTGCTACTATTCACGATTGAAAGGTCTGCTCACGCCATTATGAGACCCGAGAGGCCATATCCCGCTCCCATGAGCACGAGACATCCCCACTTCCAACCAATTACTATATCCCATGCTGCTAGAGAAGAGTAGCACACAATGTTGATACACTGTTAGGGGTCAATGTCTAACCATGTGAAGTCAAAATCTGATCAATACTCACAGCACCAAACACAATTCCAGGCCATCTGGCTCCTTTGAACACGCCGTCAGAAGTCCAGGCGTATCCCAAGGTCGTGACAATCTGCACTGCACTCGTCGTGCTTGGATAGGCGTTGATTTGAGGAACAGTATATTTCGGGTCTTTCGAATGTTTCAAGAACTGAGCAAAGACTGGAGCGGCGCCGGAATTGCCATTGTTGAAACAGCTGGATGGAGTCAGCCAGGATAGGGTAGGAGCTTTAAGCGTTCTTACATATACAAAAGACTCAGAAGATAGATGTGCCAACTTTTGAAGATCTTAAGAACCTTCATCTTGGTATATGGCGCTCTGTTCTGCCGTCCCTCTAGGGACATTCGAGTTTGCGCGTAAGCACGCTCCTGCACCACCGTCAATCATCACGATCTAACATCGCGTCAATGAGTTTCAAACTTACCTTCTTGCTCAAATACGGCGCCCTGCAGGTTTCTGGGACATCTGGTAACAAGAGATATCCAGACAATGCTATTGGGAGTGATATAATGCCATCAACGATGAAGAGCCACTGCCAGCCCCTGAATCCTCCGACACCTTCTAAATGGTAGACTGCTGCCATAAGGTAGCCTGAGAACATGGTTGCTATGGCCGAGCTGGTGTGGAAGATGCATGAGCGTTTTGCCAGCTCATCGGATCGGTACCACGATCCGATTATATATTGCATGCCCGGATAAAAGCCGCTTTCTGCGAGACCAACGAGAAATCTTACAGCATAGATTTGCGTTACAGTATTGCATTTGCAAAGGCAAAATGTAAGAACAGTCCAGACAAGCTCTAGCGTGGGTATCCAAATCGAAGGCCGGACTCGCGTCAAGACGATATTGGAAGGGATTTGCCCAATCACGTATCCCACGATCCAGAGAGTCTGCATATAATTGAGCTGATCTTTGTAAAGGCCAAGGTCCTCCTCCATTCCAGAGACGAAGGCATTGTTGATGTTCGCCTGGTCCAGATACTTGATGAAGTAACCTTTTTACACGTTAATGGCGGATAGTCGGGGCGTACGTTAGGACTTACCAAGGGAAGCAAAGGTCAGTAAAGCTGCATCGAGTTTGGTGAGGAATTTGCGCTCCTCAGGACTCTTGTCAAAGGTATCCCAGATGTAGCTTTGCCATTTTCTCCTTGGCTTCAATGCCACTACGTCCTCTGCCCTCTCCCGCACGTTTTCTTCCACTGGTGGCGGGGGTGCCATATCCTGATATAGGGTCAAATCCTTTTGTTCGTTCTCTATGGTCGTAGTAACGCTCAAATGATCTACCTGACTGATTGCTGAGGTGGAAGCACGGTTTATAAGAAGCAAGAAGCATACCGGCAGCGCCCTGGTCGAGGCTCGAAGGCTAGACAGTGTGCCTGTCTACATCGTACGCGGATGTCGTCGGCGACTTTGCGCAAGCCATCAATCTCCAGAGTCAAGTACAAGCCCTCATAGCCCGGATCGGCGAAACAAATACAAGCCTACTATGGCGAATACCTTCAGCCACCGGCCCTAGCATTGTGGGTGGGTGGAGTATATAGCCGCATTTGATACTACCTCGCTCGATTGTACCGGTCTTGCATATTGCGTGCGCTTGGAGACAAAAGGGGTGCTCAAGTCGAGTCGTCAGAGTCATGCAGTCAACCCCAGTAAAGCGTCTTATCGTCAATCAAAACGATGTTCGAAGGATTAAGTACGTGATGATCGCGTTGATTCCCGATTACTGTTCGCTGATGGAAAGCTCCTCTTGCCAGGGTATGCCACGCTACGTGCAGGTCTCCGTTGGTGGATACAAGGTGAGTGTTCCAGGTAACGACCTGCGATTGACTAGCTAGAATGGGACCAATCGCAAGAGACAGAATGATCAGTATGGCTGTAGTACAATACAGCTAAGCGGGGTAAGGTCGTACAGGAGAAGGCTTGGTTGAAATAATGTAGATCGTATGTCGTGATGAACGCACTCTATCGCGTAAGTCTGCTTATTAAGCAGGTCTACAACCAACATCCACATGTGCGCTAACCTTTGTGATAAGAGCGAACCGACTATCCTCACCAAAACAGTAGATTCTCCGCATTCGTGCCTATGTTACCATGCTCACTAGCTTTATGAGGAAGACTCGCTATGTAGGCATGGCCGAAGGCGGCACTTTCATCAAGATGGTGTGCGTCTTCACATGGCAAACCACGCGTTGCATTGGTCAGCCCCGCTGTCTAGGAATGGTCGGTATGCCTCTCGCGTTCATCGGTCTATCGAGTTGTCGTTTGGGTTCAAGCCGTAGGTACTGTACTCGTAGTATAAGAGGAGGTCAACTTCATGCCTTTGCCTCGTCCGTCTCTTTCACCACTCATATCACTTTGCTCTCCAAACTATATTTGCCTGTAAAGTAAACATCATGGCTCCCATTGCAATTGACCCAGAGATCAGAGACGTCGTGCAGCCAAAGAAAGACACGCTGGGACTGCGTAAGTGTTCCAAACAGAAGTTGAGCGCTTTCCTAATCATCAGTAGCAAAGGAGACACGCGCTCGACTCGAGAAAGCCAATATCGATCTGTCTGATGGATATCCTTACCGTCCTGCCAGACCCTTGTACCTTCAGGATGCCATCTCAATTCGCGGCAAGCCTTGGGAGCATTTAGATGCTGGTTCCAGAGCAGAGAAATCAAAATCATCACTGCTCTCGGCGGCCGAGAAAGTTATTGACCTCACAGCCCACATTGGTACCGAGATCGTTGGATTGCAATTGAAGAATCTCACTTCTCAGCAGAAAGATGAGCTAGCCCTCTTGATTGCAGAGCGTAGCGTTGTATTCTTCCGCGACCAAGATATCTCACCTCAGCAGCAGAAAGAGCTTGGAGAATATTATGGCAAGATTGAGGTCCATCCCCAAGTTCCCCAAGTTCCTGGCGTCGAGGGTGTGACTGTCATTTGGCCAGCACTCATGGCCACCGAGCGTACAGCCAATTTCCGGAACCCAGGCGGCGCATCCAGATGGCACACAGATCTTGTCCACGAGCTTCAGCCTGCCGCAATAACACACCTCCACAACGACGTCGTTCCAACCGTTGGTGGCGACACTCTCTGGGCCTCCGGATACTCGGCATATGAGAAGCTCTCTCCAGAATTCAGAAAGATAATCGATGGAAGGGAGGCTGTTTTCAAGTCTGCACACACATACCTTGACAAGAACGACCCTAATGCTGGTCCAAAGCATATCGAGCGTATCCACCCTATTGTGCGAGTTCACCCTGCTACTGGGTGGAAGAGTCTTTTCGTCAATCGCTCTTTCACCACAAGAATCATTGGTCTTGACAAGGCGGAGAGCGATGTGATCCTGAACTATCTGTTCGATGTTTATGAAAGAGTAAGTGTTGTCCGGAATGATCGGGGTTACCTCGAGCTAATAGTCCTACAGAACATTGACATTCAGCTGCGTTTCAAGTGGACCCCGCGCACGAGTGCGCTTTGGGATAACAGGTCAGTCATTTCTGTCGAGTATGGTCGGGCGTCTACTTACGATTATCTAGAATCACCATCCATAATGCTAGCTGGGACTACGAAGGTAGCCAACCTAGACACGGCACAAGGGTAACCAGCCTTGGCGAGAAGCCCTATTATGATTCGACGGCTCCATCGAGGAGAAGGGCGCTCGGTTTCGACAAGGATGATGAAGCTATCTGAAACAGGGCTACTTGTATCTTGGGTATGGAGTCGGACTGGACAAGCACACAATTTCGTGTGCCAGATAGTCCTGGTCGTATTCAACTTCGTATAAAGACATGATCCCCAACGCCAAATTCAACTGTGTTCCCTATGGACAGGTACCTTCGTGCAGGGCAACAATAGTACTTGGGGCGGATTTGCGGCGGTAGCTTCATCTTCGAAAAGCCTTTCCCCGAGGTAGACTCGTCAACAGAAAATAACCAACTGCTAACGTGCCGGAGACGGTTCGAGCCGTTGAGCCTCAAGCGCCGGACCATCTAAAAAGGTTGTAGCTTAAGCAGAGTTTTTCTTCAATTCATGTATGTCTTCACTGTATTCAAGGCCACTGGAAATGCAGAAGATGCGGATATGAGTTCCCTCGGCTGTCAAGCTATAATCATTGCGTAACACTTTATTTTTGTGGAGAAGAGAACCTCCCAATAGTACTCTAGGCACTCATAATGAAAAGAGGCTGAACCCTGACAGATGTTGGACATGGCAGGGCCGACCTCGTAGGCTTCTCACCCACCATCGATCTGAAATACTTATTGAGCATGGACACGATTAGTGTTAATTAAGACTCCTGTGACGCAGTGGCTAGCGTGTCGTTCTTATATTCTTTCTTCGGAAACAATATGGCCATTGAGGTTATGCGAAAGTCGAGGGTTCGACCCCCTCCAGGAGTAAGGAGTCAACTTTTTTACTCTGCATGCACCTTTTAGCTGGTCTTTCGTTAATTTCCCCTGAGTTCATGACGACGACTGCGGGGCTCAAACTGGCGACCATTTGACAAGGACTCGATTAAGCTTCTAGCGCCGGGCTTCGCATCCTAAGCTCCTCCGATCTTACGCGAATGATGAGGGCGACCCTTTCGGTTTTAGGCATCCACGGACAACACAGTGTTCGTGGTTATGATATTTTTCTTACTACCTTTTTCCAAATGACATGTGTGAGACTCATGGTCGCGTACCTCGCTCTACAGGGTGTTCTACCTGCGTCCAGCGACATCTCAAGGTATGCTTAATATTAATTCTCACCCGGTCACCTCAAAACTATCTAACAGTGAACAACAACACATAGTGTGACGAAGCTCGACCGCAATGTCTTCGCTGTGTGAAGAGTGGTCGATCGTGTCCAGGTTATGTGAAACGTTTCGTTTCAAACAGTCAAGCCTGGCTATAGGCAATTCTAAGAAACGAGTTGACGAGAGCTCATTCAACTCATCCGGCTCGTTCAGTCTAAGTCCCGAAGAGCTGCAAGTAGTAAGACATGCACAGTGGGATAGCAATTCGAACTCTGTGTTCTCAACAGATTTGGCACTTCTCACGTTCCAACAACCAATCAAAGTTCTGCCTGCTCCTTATCTCGAACAGTCACAGCTCTTGTCAACTTTAATCGCAGCCTTCAATCCCGTCCAAACGACTGTAGCTCAGCAGCCACTGCACATTCGAGGATGGTTGTCGCTAGTTCACGATCGTATCGGCATTAACGAGTCGTTAGATCTCGCCATGCGTTCATTGGCATGCTTGTACGGCGGTCAACGACATGGCGATCCTCGCATTGTGAACACTGCCCGCACCTTTTACGTTCAGGCTCTACGAAGCCTCCGCGGCGACCTTGTCTCTCTGAGATCATCTCAATCTGATTTTCAAAGCACCACAATGTTGTTGACATTTCATGAAGTGGATCTCACTGCCGTATGTCATGTCAGCATCGCTAATGCCAATCGGACAGAAGATGCGTGGATTAAGCATTCTGGAGGTGCCTCTCAGATCATGAAAATCCGCGGTCCAGAAGCTTATACAAGTGGCTATGACTATGCAATGTACCTGGTTTGTAGGGGCTATATTGTGGGTAGACGTGTTGTGTTTCCCGTATATAATCCTAACTGACTTGAGACAGATAATCGAGGCTTACATGGCGGAGAAGCCTTGTTTTTTAGAAGAACCAGGGTGGGAAGCGTTAACCCAAATTTCTCCATTCCCATTGCAGGAGCGGTTGTTTGCTTGTAGCGCAAAGGTACCTCGCATTCTTCGAGACGCTCAAAGAGCCAATCATGGATACCATGACATCTCAGACGTCGCCAACCGGGCAAATGAAATGCGGACAGCAGTCATACGTTGTTTTGCAGACTGGTGGGTTGACTTGGGCTGTGGACCTTCTTGGCCAGTCGAACGTCCTTCCGGGGACGCCATGTTTCCTGTCGGTTACTGGTTCCCAAATTTACTTCTTCCTGGACTGATGTGCTCACATTACACAACAGTAGTGGGTAGATTCATCTCGCTGTCCAACTTCTGCTGACATTTTATAGATCATTCTTAATCACCTTCTCATGGATGCTGGCAGTCACGAAAGCAAAGCACTAACTGAAGAGTGTCAGGAATCCGTGGTAGAGATTTGTAAATGCGTCTTTCAAGCAGAAACCCGCATGATCGGTGCCATATATATGCCATTCTGGCTTCGAGTCGCAGTAGACGTATGTCTTCCGGAACATCATGCATGGATCACGTCAAAATTGGACAAGTTTCGGTCAGCTACAAGTGTTGGAACACAATGATCACGTTGGTATGCATACTATTTATACGCTTTAGGACCGCAATCGTGGGTGCTAAACCGCATTTGGTTCCGTCCCCTGGTTCCCCGTTAACGCTACGCCCAGGTGGGCCTCATATCGCGACCTCCACAATTAGCTGGCTGAACAGTTCGTACAGCTGTAGCTTTCTTCAAAGATCCCATCCAAAACACATCTTGCTGCTTACCGTCCCGGAGCCATCTGCTTCCCGATCGGGAACTATGCCGCGAGCAACATATGCACAGCCATCCATCATTTCCACCCAAAACATGTATAAAACATCCGTTCTCCATGTGTTGTGGAGCTTCCACTTCTAGCAGCACTTTTGCTACAGTGCTGAGTCAAGTTGGATTCCAGTCACGCAACCATCTCTTTGCATATCAATATCTAGCACTACGCTCCCAAACTTCAGTCAACAAGATGGCCTCATTCAATGACGTGCCTCTAACTGCCACCCAACGCGACATATCAATCGCGGAGATCATCATCTTCTCTATCCCTCTGGCCGTCCGTTTGTCTCAAAAGATTCGAGCAGAAGGTATCTTCGACGTTTTGCGGCTTGTTCATAAAGTCCGTGGCAACTTTCTGCTCGTTTTCTGCATTGGTAAGCTCATCCTGTGACCGGGTATGCTGGCAAGGCTATGGTTGATAAATCATTCTAGTAAGGATTGTAGGAAACGCTCTCTATCTGGCAGCAGGTTCGCCGAGCGACTCCATACTTATCGGGGCTCTCATTCTTGAAAGTCTTGGCTCTACCTTTTTGATGGGAGAGGTGACTAGACTGCTTGTTAGCTTGTCAGTCGTCTATCAAACCTGTGAAAAGTTGTTTGCTGATTTCCAATACCAGCCTCGATCGTTCGACTATATCGTCGCCGCCAGACATACACTTCCATCACCATCAAATCCTGCTTCTCCTCGTTAAAGGCCTTCGCATCCCAATTGTGGTGGCCATCATCCTCTATATCATTGCCTTCAATGTTGGGAGTGTATCCACCTACCATGCTCTTATCCGTGCTGGTGCCACTGTCCTCTTGGTCGTCTATCTATTCATATTATCCATCTGCATCGCCACAGGCCTCAACTTCAGACGTCACACGAACAGCATGAGTTCTATCCCATTCTTGCTCCTAACCCTATCTTTACCATTTCTTTTTGTCAAAATGCTCTACGTTGTTCTCGGTGCCTTTGGCGCGGACAATGGTGCATTCGTCATCATATGGGGTGAGTGGCACATATTCGTTGGTATGAGTCTGTGCATGGAGGCTGTGGTTGTGGCCTGTCTGGCTGCAAGTGGTGTGAAAGATGATCAGGAGAAGGCAGTCTTGCAGGACTTACAAGGCAATGTTCTAGGCGTGCTTGCGGAGGACGAACTTGAGGAGGGAAAGATCATCCAGAATTAAAGACTAGGGCTGTTGACAAGCAAAGTAAACCGATCTTCTGGAGTAGATAGTGTCCTGGATGGGCATTGATTCTGAATTGCGAAGCCGTACGTGGGATTGTGGACAGATGCCTTCTGACCGTTTCGTTCACTTACAGTAGTACATGGGTCTATGTTTCGTGTCGTTGCCCCTATGAGGGGGGAAGACATGACCCGATATTTGAATTTGAAATTGTGCTTTTGAATATCGATCATCTTTCAGATTGCATAGGTTGCTGCAGACAAAGTAATCATCGGCTATAGTAGAAGAGGCACTGCGACCTAGCAAGCCACCAAGCGGTACTGAAAGACTCGAAGTCAATCAAAGCATTTCATTGTTACTGTGTAACAAACGTGGAGAGATTGTGCCGCTGAGTGATCCGAAACAGCTATTTCGGTATGTTTTCGACCAGTGCAGGAAAGGAAATCAATATTGTATGCTTGTAGCTAGTAGCAGTAGCAGTCACAAGTTCACTGAGTGTGATTTATACCTATGCACCCGACAATGGTATGGAGGGCGACCCTGTCCGCTTTGGCGCCCAGCATCAATCGCACAAAACATGTCACTTCGCCGTGCATCTGCACACATCCAGAAGCAAGAAGTACGAGGGTAATCAAGAATCATGCTTGAGGAATATGGACTGTCAGTTCCGAATCTAACGCGCACTGGGGCTCCGTCCAAACACGTTCAAGATCGATGTGTGTGAACCTGACGATCTCTTGAGTATGTGATTTTTTGCACGGGATACTACACATGCCTCTCCATAACTTACACAACGTGCTACTCTTCTTGTGCGGGTCACGTATTCTGCTAATCTCGTTGCGAACATGGGGTTACAGTGCGAATAGGAGCAACTCTCACAAGTAGAAATGGTGCGTAGACTGCTCACCATATGCTTGTGTTCTACATATTCACCGTCTTGTACCTGACTTCATCTCTTTGAGAAGGTAAAATTGAGAACAGAAATCAATTCGCCTTGATCTATGTCATTGGTTTGTCACGATGAACTTTGCTTGAAACAACGAAGTCTGTATATATTTCCAGGGACAAAGGAAGCTCTTTCAACAGTCGTAATAGTAATTCATAACAGTCATTAAAAGGTCAATTCCGCTCCATCACACTCAGACTGTACTCCAAATATGAAAAGAAACCCAGAAGAGTACAACTCCACCCACCGCTCAATGCACATCTTCGACGGCTCTAGTCATCACTTCGTCACCACATTTTTTTCATTTCCCAAGCCTCAAGCTTCGTTTTCATGGTATCCTAAACCTCCAACTCACAAATAGACGTCCGACCTTTTGCTGCATCTTGTCCCTCTACCTTTGTCGACTTCTTCATGACGCCCAACTGAATCAAACGCTCCCAGACACGATCCCTTATGGTAGCTTTGGCTCTATCAAACGACAAACCATCCAATATGTCGAGGGATCTGCAGCTCTGGCTAAGCAAAAGCTCATAGACTCTTCGTCTGAGCTTGGTATCCTCATCTAGACGCTCGCAATGTTCCGCATCCGAAGCTCTATCTGCAGAAGGCAAGGCATAAGCGCGCACGGCACGAAGCTGAACGTGCTCCTCTGTCTCCGTTTCCGCGTTTTCAGAAGACGGCCCAGAAGAGAGAATGATGCTCTGCTCTTTCGCTGTTGTCAAGGCTGCGGCTGTCGCTGTTGGCGGATAGAAGCCGAGACTTATTGGG